GAATTAAGCGGCAAGCTTTTAATCGGGTGGCCATATTTGATCCTCAGATCTGTTAGTTCGCTGCTCTGAATGCGCTCTTACTGCTTCTAATGCTTTCGTACGTGTGAATAGCTCTGCGTATAAAATTTATCCTATAAAGGAACATTCCTCTGCATACGAATTATTTAAAACCTAATAGCTGGTATCTAAAATACATATTTAGTCCATCTCGTGTGATTTCAGTTTTTCTCCTTTTCGGAATTTGGTTTTGTTCAGGGAAAAGATTTCTAGAAATGAATGTCACTATTCATATGATTTAGGCAAAATGAAAACAAATTTGCCTGAAACGTATATTGCAGCTTTGAATGAGATATAATCGTTGCAAGATAATTGTCGGGAACGTCAAGTTATATTTATGTATTTATTTATCTTCTTTTTTCTAGCTAGACAAAACCCCACGAAATACCTCTAACTTCATTACCCCAAGACATTTTCAGTGCATTAACTCCTCTTGTTCAACACAAAAAGCCTTCACAAAAACGCTGCCTTGAGATAACAATTTGTTAAAGTGTGGATAGACAGAAAGAAACTTTGTCCACTGGGGAATCAAAGAAAATTTGTTGCCACGGTAACCTTAAATAAAACATCGGCAGACAGGCCCCAGTGCGACCTAAGCATGCGTCGCACTGAAATTTGGAAGGGAACAAATCTGGTACAATTTGGCACACGGGTAGTGATCAGTAGCAACTAATTCCCTTTATATCCTTTATATATCGTTGATAGCACTTAAAGTGGGGATCAGAAAGGAAATAAGGTGTAATTGCATGAAATTAAGCAGCATCTTAATTGATACGTTGTTGAGGTAACCTAACTAAACAGTTTTCCGGAAATGTTTACACTTCAGCGAATCCCTTGGAAATGCGTATTCTTGGAATTTCTGGGCTTGGGGAAAACTTCGCATTTCTGTTATCAGGAAGTATTTCCGTGTTTGGAAAACACTTAAGGCGTTGAACCAGATCTCTCCAATATACAATGGACACGTTGCTCGGGTCGAGAGACTTAAGTGTCTACGATACATTAACGAGGCTTTAATTGTGGTATCAGGCAATGTGTTGCAATTTGATGTTCCTAACATGCCATGATACGCATTTGGGCAATGTATATAAATGATAATATAATCATAAATGAGGGATTATTTTTGACAGTTTTTATTATGAGAAGATACGGTTGAAAAACCGTTGGCCAGATGTTTGTTAAATAAGAGAACATAAGAGCCTTGCGAAGTGTGTTCGTTTGACGGCTATGAGTGCTGGGTATGTCTGCCTCCCCTCCTGCTCTGCTGTCTTCCTAAGTGCGCTGGTGTAGCTTCGACTGCGTAAGTGCGTCTTCAATTGAAACAAAGATTGGTATCTAGATTTTTTCTGCATGCGTCTTGTTATTTAGTTCTTTTATCATTATTGTTTGTTGTATTTGAAGGACAGTCCGTTTTGTAAGGCTGATCTTTTTTTTAATCGGAAAGCAAGATACAGTGGGAAGTAAACACTTTTCTTGGTGCAATGTTTCAGTATACGGAGCACTGAAAAATCCCTGAAATAATTCGTCGGGGTAAAGTATGAACGCTATCTCTTTGTCTATTGCCAAGAAATAACTATTTGTCGTCAAAAAGACCTTACCTAACGTATTTCCAAGAATCCCATTATCCCAACAACTAAACATTCGAAAAGGGTATATGTTTCTTGTTATAATGAGGGAAGAGCTATTTAGATCTAATCAGGTCTTTGCTGAATTCGTGTCCAAAAAACAAGCTGTTGTACCAGGTTACAAAAGCTCTTGTTCGAATACAAGTTCGCGAAAAGAGAGCGTGATAACATCTCCACTTAAAGTACAGTCACAGGTCGATCATGACAAGCTTATAGTAAACGAGTTAGAAGAAGTACAAGTCAATGGTTGTTTAACAAGGAGGCGAGTGGCTTCTTCCAGGTATTCACATGTATTTCCCACTCCACAATGTTCATTCCTCAGAGGACGGTAATTGCTGAGCATGAGGAAATGTAAAAGCACTGCGTCCAAGAAATAGGTCCATTTACATTACTGTGACAACGCAAGAATTTCTCAGAAACTAAATGCCATAACTGGCTCTTGAACTATTAGTGACAGAACCCTTATCTTCACTAGAGTGACGTCATCTTTATTTTCCAAAAACATCGGTCACGCCATGACAAAAAAAACTCCCCTAGGTAGAAGTAAATATGTGACCGAAATGTGCTTTATTAACGTTGAGGTATAACAACAGTAACAAACCTTAACCCATACTTCCTTGTTTAATTATCTTACAAACATTTAACATTTATCTTTTAAATGTGCATAAAAGGATATGCACGCGTTTCTGAAACACTCTGTATGTCAACAAATGACGTCAGCAAGGTAGATAACGCGAGGTATTTGAGTACGATATATATAAGCGTTTCATAAATACTCGCATTCAAAAGTGAACGATCAAGTATAACACAGCTAGGTACGTCCACATTCTAGAAGAGTGTTGAAGCCATTTTTTAAAAATTAATTGCATTACTATGAATTCTGACACGGGCCGAAGATTGTCAGCGTTCGAACTGTTACGACAAGTTTCGGTGAGTATCAATGTACCTAAGATGATTTGTTGACACACGGCTGTGTAGGTAACGCAAGATTGTAATACAACTTGATCAAGGTCTTCCAGTTTGCCTCTTTTCATAACTGTATTTCTACACTGCTTGATAAACTTACTAGAACCAACAAAATTGTTGGATGTGTGGGTCCCAGTTGCATGTAAGTTAGAAGGTTCCTGCAAGTTGGATAGTTTAGTTGCCCTTGAAGGTCTAAAGAAAACTTCGTTACATTTCACAGGGTATGCAGCATTTAGTAGCCAGCATTTGCATCTTGATGCAGGAACTTTCAAAGGCGTGGGTGTGTGTGTGTGTGGGGGGGGGGGGGGTCTTTTTCTGAAAAAGTGAACATTGTACTATGGAAGCTTCGTGTACCTAGATCTAATTTTATCCAGAGCGAACATTCTCCCAGCAAAAGCCCCCCCCCCCCCCCCCCCCCGCCCCCCGGGCCTGATCACCCTGAGCAGGGAAGACCCCTGCATCCAACACTTATGTATTGAAAGTTGTTGGATGAAAACGCACGTGTCTGATGCTACTGTTGGTGTTTACGTGTATTTTCGCACCCAGCGGTATGCTTAAATAGCGATATCCTCTCTACCGGTACAATATGAGTGATTGACAACTTAAAAACCAGGCTATCACGTGTAGCTTGAACATGTCATTACCTTATTATTTGCCCAAACGTATTGTAATAGATGCACCTGAAATGAGCCTCCGCACTCGGACAGGCCATTAATCATTTTAACTAAACAGCAGGAAGCGCACTCTTGGAAAACTTGTGAAAGAGAGTAAAACCCCTCTGACCTGTCTAAATGGACCGTTACAGAATGAATTGCCTATGTGTACCGCTCGTTGTAAAGGCCAAAGTATGTGTTGTTCTGTTTCACGTTGCTGACAGAATTATGCTCTATTGACCTCCTGTCATATTTTTTCTGGCTTTTAGTTACCGTACAATTGTGCGGCCTATAATTAAAAGATACCAAAATAGTAGCCAATCAGACATGACTCACAATTAAGCATTTAAGCATAAAAATAACAATAAGCTGCTAGCATAAGGGAGTCATAATAATGAAATCTATTTCAATCGTCCCAGCTGAAGTTGGCATTAAAGCTCAGACAGCGCTATTTTTATATGGAGCCTGCCCAAACACTCAGGCGTATCGAGGTAAAGGAACATAATAGAAGAGATTATGACGTCATCCCGAGGCGATGTACAGGGATCGCTTGACCCATGGGTTATCATGCTACCAAAAATATTACAATGTTTCATAAACGCCCTCCATTATTCCCTGTATATCAAAGATAGTCAATATACTTGTATACAAAGAAGTTTGGATGTCGATGAAAACTTATTAAATGGTCGTAGATCACAGCCACGCGCTGGCGATAAAGAGGGATTGACGTCACAACCAGCCATAAACGGTGTTGAAGACACTATCGGGTTGTTAACTAACCTGAGAATTTCGAGGCACGTGTGTACATTTCACTTCGCTTTAAAAGAAAGAGGTAAAAGGTTCCAAGTGCCTAGAACAGCTATCTGCCTTCATACTTATGTTTCAGAGTTTTTCATTTCCTTTAATTCCTTGTATACGCGCACCCTGTCTGTGCATAATTTGAAAGGATAAACCAAGTGATATACTCAGTTTTTTTTTTTCAAAGTGCGTATAGTTTACTTGAGTTAGTGGAATCCAGACACCATTTTATACTTATGTAGCAGAAGTAAGACACGTAATTTCACAATAATCGACTTTTCTCACTACGGTCACTGCGACGGCCTGACAACGTGACGCCGAATCCACGTGTGATTATTACAAAAAACGTTATTGTTTGTATTATGCATCAATAAACACTTTTAGCAGACTCGGGCTTGATTACCTTGATTTCTTACAATGGATTCCTCACATGTGTACAGGTATTTCTTCAAGTAAATGTCAAGCGTGTGTATATGTTTGACGGTCAAAACATTCTAAAGAAAAAAAATGATAAAAAGCGACGTTTTTTCAACCAGCCCATGTGGGCGTGCACATTTAAGTTTGCTCATCAAAAATAGCCGAGATGAAATCTCTCTGTGAAACTCTTCATGAAATTAGGCAACTGCGCAGCCACGCTGTGTTAACCCACCCGCAAACACCCTGCCTACATATTCCGCTTTCATTGGCTGACTGCCCCTGTGGGCGAGTTTGGAAAAATTTGTTTCATAAGTACACGTCGACTGGATAAATTCGTGGAAAAATATTAATTTCTGAAGTATTTTTATAGTTTGAATACGCCCTCATGAGAAGTCAACTTCAAGAAGTTACATACAAAGTTAAGCGGGAACGTTGGTTGTTGAAACTGGGGAGTATTCATTAACCATGCCAAATCCATTTATTCCAGAAAGAGACCGCGGGAAACTTGAAGCGCTACAAAATGCGGTCCTCTGATCCGAGACCGTCAGACGCAGAGACGACGATGTGCTCGTGCGTTGGTCCGGTCAATATGAAATTCCTTGGAAGCCAAGATCAGGATAAATCTGCCCAACAGAGCAAGCGGATTGACCGAATGCTAAAGAGAGAACATAGGCACGATCTGCGGAGACACAAACTTTTACTTCTAGGTGAGTAAGCCATGATGGCTTTGGGACTATTTAATAATGTAGAGACGCACTTTCATCCAACTTGTGTCAGCTTACATGTTTGAAAGACATTGACATCATAAGTTTAAAATCACTTATTTATACAGAATCACGGAAAGTGATGTAAAAGTCCGAGCTATCTCAATACCCTCTGATGGCCGCGTACGCCTGAATTGAGAAGATGCCGATACACAATTAAATAAAGAATTAACCTTTTGAAACCAAGCAACTGTAAGCGAGTTTATTGACGACTGCTATTAAGCTGGTCACTGAGTATGGAATACAGTATTGACTTGACCGATAAGACTTGGCGGAAATGTGGGTAAAAGGCGTATAAAAATGTTTTAAGTGAAGTGCAGGAGGTTTGTTAAATTAATCATTTTACAGACAGTTTTATCTAAATATTTTTCATAATGTCTAATTTTCGGCTCTACTCAAGAGCCTTCCTCAGGACCAGACTAATGAACTTTGTAAAGAATGAACTGCAGGTGGTCATTTTCGTCCGCAAAAAAAGTAAACCTATGGTAATCTATTGCTAGAGTCCCTGCGAATGACAACTATGTTAGTTTCTGTAGGCAACTCTTACTTAAACATCCCGTGTATGTATATCTGAAGGCGTTTCCGCTGAGTTGAAATTATTTTAACTTACAGTCGGTTCAACACAAAATCGATTATGTGTCACGATTTGGCTCCAACAAGCCCTTGGCACAGATTTGAAGTACGTTGAAATCGTCGGAAAATTAATCATTGGTTAAACAATGATATTCAAACGATATAGAGTTTTAAGTACGGTAGTTACTTGCACGTATCTATGATTCGATGATTGGAACTTTCCAAGTCTCAGTAGTTAAACGTTCACCCAGATCTCAAGTGTTTGCCAACATAATTCAATGAATCATCGTTCTACAAGCTGAAATTAAAAATCAATTTAGAGTCCGACGGACTGATTTCCCGAGGCCAGTAAGGACATGAAGTAGAGGCTGTTAGCATGTAAGTCTGCAGCATGGCTTATCGGTAATTCACTTCTTCACGTATAGAGAAAGTTATGAAAAAATATTGAGAGAACCGTTTATCAGCTGCGAGCAACTAGCAGTGATGTCAGTTGGAGAACGCTGACGCATGCAAAATGAGTTTAAGAGAGGCAAAAAATAATGATAGACGGTCCACCTTTCCGTCACTAACGGTAACCCTTAAAGAAGCCTGTTTTTGTTCCGGTTAAAGCACCCGTCTTTTACTATGCGTCGTTACCGCCATCCACGCCTTAATTATGCTGACATTCATAGACCTCCATCAGTTTAACAAGATTTACACACGATAAAATCAGCAACGTTGCTGGGAATAAGGCTTTTATGTCATTTATTTGGCTGGCTGCAGAATTTGTAATAAATGTCACGTTGACCGAATAAGCGCAGACAAATGATTAAAAGGTCCTGTGCGGTTTGTTGCTCCCTCTCCCTCTCTCTCTCTCTCTCTCTCTCTCTCTCTCTCTCTCTCTGTGTGTGTGTGTGTGTGTGTGTGTGTGCTTGTGTGCATTAAATGTCTATTTCTGTCATTCATATTTTTTTTCTTTTCCTAGGAACCGGTGAAGCGGGCAAAAGCACAATCACAAAGCAAATGAAGATTATTCACATCAACGGTTTTGACAGAGGGTAAGTAGCGCACGCGTTTGTAATATTGCCGTAAAGAGAACGATTGCGTTGGCATCACATCTGCCACAATACACTGATGGCATTTATTTTCACCTTGTTTCTAACCACTTTTACTACTGGAACAGTATACTACTGGAACATGTTTCAAGTAAATTACGATAATATGATATGTAGTATATTATGTTAGCATAATGACATATAGGGAATTGATGGGGTAGTAAATATCACAATAATAGTAATTGTAAAAGTTGATGACCTTTATAAAGTCACGAATTTATTTACTGCATTTTTAATAACGATGTTTTTTTTTTTTTCAGGGAGAGGATTGAAAAGGTCATTGATATTAAACGTAACATAAGAGATTCTATAGCGGTGAGTGAGGTTTTGTGACATATTGGTCTCTTAATTTGGCTCGTGTTCTTTAATATGAACGGAGCCTGTGGTTCCCTGCACTCTTGAGTGTCGCAAGTTTAACTAGGTAACTTTTCTTTTTGTCCGCTTAATGCATAAGTCAATATATCTCCAAGTGTTTTGTTTAATTTCAGTATTTTTTAACAATCATAATAATGTCATGATTTTGGAAAAATAAACCTTAACATTTAGCATATAAATAAAAGCTGTATATTTTACAGTTGAGACCGTAATATCACAAATAACGCCATATCCCTTATTTAATAACTAGCTAATTTAATTAAGATAAATAATTAACAACCGTATTCTGTCATCAGACAATATGCGGTGCGATGCAGATTATAGGTATTCCGCTAGAGCGCAGTGATAACCAGCCTTGCTACGACTACATCCTCAGCAAGGACACGCATCGCCCTGATTTTGATTTCCCACAGGTACATGCATATGTATACATGATTTGTTTTTATGTGATTGTTTTCGTAATCTACCAAAGTTCCAACAACTGCTGAAATTTTGTTTATTTCCACGTCTGTTTTCATACTTAACCTTTTTTTACTTGGGGGGGGGGGGGACGTATCGTTATTTAATTTTGGTAATTCTTAAATTATTTCGGATTTGGAAGTCGTTTTTCATTTTCAGTTACATGTATGTTTCTTCATTTTACATTTGAACTTAAGTAAAATGTCAAAGCGACCTCTTTATTTACCTTTTAACTTTAAGCATAAGATCTATGTCCGTTACAGTCGATATTTCGTTCTTTCTCAGGAATTTTTTCTACACACGTCAAAATTATGGCAAGATGGCGGCGTCCAGACGTGTTTCAGAAGATCCAATGAATACCAGCTGCTGGACAGCACGCAGTAGTAAGTAAGGTTTTAAAATATTCCTTTCAGGATAACAGTCACATAATAATAACTTCTTTTTAATTATCTAACTTGGCTTTCAAATTTCGCACCGACGACGGATTTGTTAAAGCATAGGTACATGTATTCTAGACAGTAATGTAATCGTATCCGTGGTGAGGATGCAACGTCGACTCTGTTGATATTTTATCGTGCATGGGACGGCTAAGTAAAAGTCGCTGAAGTAGGGGCATCCAAAGTGCATTTTAGTGTCATAAAAATAAATGTTTTTGTTTACTTTTTAGTTTCATGGACAGACTGGGTGAAATCAGAAAGCGCACCTATGTTCCCAGTGATCAGGTATTGATAACAACTCTCAGTTCTCAGAATTAAGAAATGAGTTTTCTCGCGCCAAAAGAGTAGGCTGCTCCGTTCACTTAATGCTGTATACAATATTTACTACGTACCGTATGCAGATTATTCCAATTTAGCCAGTCTAATTGACACAAAATTCGCTTTGATATAAATAAAATAAATCTGTTTTATTGCTCGAGTCTTCAAGTGTATGTGCCGAAAAAAAATAAATAAATAAATAAATAAATAAATAAATAAATAAATAATCGTAGCGTAATATTCACAGGTAGGCTACAATAAGCTCTGGTGGATTTTATTTTATCTATTGTACCATATTTGCAGGACATTTTACGTTGCCGCGTGATGACAAATTCTATCAATGAGATCGATTTTGATGTTCTGGAGCACGGGGCCACAATACCGTTTAGGTAAGATTTATGAATCTTTTATACGAGTATAAGTGCGTACAGTTTATAATAGACATACGCATATTGAACATTTCCAAATCGGCTGTAAGAGTTGCGAAAAAAGATGACACTCAGAGAACTCATTCAAAATTCTCCAATTTCTCAGTTAAGAACGGTTTTGTCTCATGGCAAAAATACAAAAAGGACTTATTATAATTATCTATATGTAATGAAAACTGTACATCATTTTTCATTAATGCTTTGCCCTAGTAGATTTAGGGGCATATTCATTTTTTTTTAATAAATGTACTGTACAACTTGCATTTGTGATCTCGTCAGAGTCAAAACCAAATGTCAAGTACTGAGCACTGGTATATTTATAAGAATCAATAAGGCAGATGTTTGTGACGTTTTTTATTCATTTTCAGTGTTTTCGACGTAGGAGGACAGAAAGGGGAGAGAAGAAAGTGGATCCAAGTATTCTCAGACAGCGTGACTGCCATTTTGTATGTTGTGGACGTCTCAAGCTTCGACGTGAAACTTCGAGAAGATGAAACGAAAAACAGGCTAGTGGACGCGCTTGAAAATTTTGACCAAGTTTGGAATAATCCGTAAGTTACCTATACACCCATAGTTTTTTTTATATACAGTTGTTCTAAATGAACATTTTGTGTTCTTTCTTTTTATATCTGTAGAATTATCTATTTCATATTTTCCTTGAAAATCTACATGTATCACAAATAAAGATGAACTTAGACCTATAAAACTTATAAGTCGTAAAATGTGGTTTTTCAAGGTGATATTTTTTTAAGCTGGAGAGCTGCACATGAAATCGCTTTAATTTCAAAAGAATATCTGTCTTATGGGACAGTGAAATATAACCGAACTCGTCTTAAGCGCTGGTAAAATACATATTATCTCGACTTCCAGGTGGTTAAAGAACACGTCAGTGCTTGTCTTCTTCAACAAAATTGACCAGCTTAAAGAAAAAATAGACCAGCAGAAATCGCTGAACACGTTAGTAGAAGAATTGAAGAACGAGGAGGAAGAAATGAGAAGACAAGGTTTAGACTCTGCATTTCAGCAGAAAGATTACATTCGTAGGTTGCAAGATTTTTCTACATATGAATTAAAAGGTGAGTAAGATGTTTTATTTTTTCATAACTTCAATCAAAGCACAAGTAATATATGTGCCATAAATAATTTTTTTTTTACTATGATGTACTTTGGTGTAGTAAAATGTACGCAGCGCTTAAGTAAGCCTATGCTATGGAATATTGACGGTCTTGCAAGGCTGACACCAAGCATCATTGTAGAAGATAAATAGTAGATCTTGTTTCTCTTCTTATGGTCTTTATTTTTATCTCTCAATCAATTAACATATTCATTTGTGTCAATTCAGAGCGAGACGCAAAAGAATTTGTTGAAGCATTCCCAAAACTAAATACTATGGACGCTGACCAAACTTGCCCATGCGCAACGGGGATTGCAAGCAGACGATCGTCGTCCAACAATTCAAAATCTAATCGGAATCTGTTGCCCTGTATTTCTCCGGACTATAATGACAATATGCGAGATTCTTCAGTTTACGTCAGTAGAAAGAGGACGATAAGCGACCCTGGTAAACACCGGCAGAGTTACAAGGATATCGCTGCAGAAATTGGAGAAGAAGTTATCAGGACTGCAACCTTCATCAAAACTGTATTTATGGTAACGTGCTTACTTGCGTTTTACGTTTATTCTGACTACGTAAGAAATTATCTTTATGTTAAAAGTGTTTCTAAAAGCAATTCACATATTTGCAATAATTTACTTGTCATTGATTTTTAATCGCCTAGCTTATAAATAATCCGTATATTTCAGAGTGACTTAATTACTGGAACAATAATTGAAAGAATAACTGGCAAAACGAGGATTATATTTGCATCCTTGATTCTAAGAGAGATATCTGCTAAAACATCATCTTACCAGAATATTTTTCATGTATCTTACAGGAAATCGCAAGCCGGTCTCGGAAGCCATCTGGCGGCGCTAACTGGCATGAAAACCACTCGTGTGACTATTTCTACACATGCGCAGTGAACACAGACAATATTCAGAAAGTTCTGGAAGGCTGTCGAGGCATCATCATAAAAGAACATCTACGAAGATTTAACATTGGAATTTAATCTGTGGTCGATCTGGGCTTGTGTGACGCCCTCACGTTTATACCAATATTGTGATGGAACTGCAGTCGTTACAATTGCGAATTTTCGCGGGGATATTCATACATGTATTATAACTGATTCAGACGACATGCGCTCTGTGTATGTTAGTGACAAACTGAATTTCTTTGAGCTATTTGTGATACCATTTATTGCAGCCTTGTTTTTGAAGTTGTCGCCTGATGTCATCGTAGCATACATGTACTAGTATAAGCGTGTAAAAATTTTGATAAGAAATATGGTAACTAATTTTTTAAAGTTTTAACGGCAGCTGTCAAATAAAATGCAAAGGCAACGAGAAACTGTATTTCCGTCATTCATGGATGGATCTTTGTTATACAACTGTTTAACTTTGCCAGAGGGAAACCCTTTTCCAAAGTAATGAACACAAACTTGTACATGTTGCATATATAGTCATGTATAAAAAGCGGAAACTGTAGTTTATCTTTATTATTCCCATGAAAACAGACAAATATATATTTTTTAATTCTGAAGATACAAGGTGAAATATAGTTGAGAACAATCCTTGTTTACAAAAGAGAATGCACATACATTTTTAAAAGTCGTTCAGCACAGGACAGTTAGGCTGAAAGTTCGTCTCGGCAAGTAGCTCACACACGCTAGAAAATCATTATCGATACTTCACAGAATATTGAAACAACTCTTACGGTATTTCTTTAAATAAACGACAAAACATATCTATGTTCAATTTGGGACGAAAATTTACCATTCATTTTTCATCAGTTCGCACTGAATAAAGGGAATTGCCTATATTAAAGGCGTTTGTTCAACCCACAAAACACTGCTCCACCCGTCCCTGCCCACGAATTGTGCTTTGTAAATGTTTCCCACCACATTTTAACTGCCATCCTGCATTTCTGAGTCGTAAATACACTTTGTGCGTAAGTTTGTAAAAATGCAACATGGGCAAGTTAAGAGGGTGATCATGCTAGTTCAAAGTCAATGCTAATGTTCAGGTTTTTTAGCCTGTCTTTGTAAATAGCGTCAAACTCCTCATTCTGTGCAACTGTAAACATGTTTTTCCAGTCACCAACTATACCTGAAATACAATAAAATGAAATAAACACCATCACGTGTATAATAATTGCTAACAATCATTCTTTTAAGACATAACTGAGAAAAGTTTTGACTGATAAAGCCGCTTTACACAAAAAATCTGATTGGCCGTTTACTTCGTTTTTTTTTTTACTGTGCCCATACCAGTAGAAGAAACTGTTAACTCCTATACAATATTTTAACACCAATAGGTGACAATATCCATACGAGTAAGTCAACAAAATTTGGGATAACTGTTCGTTAAATGTCCTTGGCCATTTGGCAAAGTCGCATTTACGTAGCCGACTGTCCCAGTTTAGCACTTTGAGTTAAGCGCAAAAACGGTTCAGCATGACCCTATTACAACAAATTATTTTGATGGTTTACGATAGATGGCAGTCCAGTCTACCTTTTCTGTACATGGATCCTCCTGGCTGCCATAGAATCTTCAGTTCTTTCTTTGATTTCTGCATGTGATCAAAGGAACAAACTCTTGCCACTTCATCATAAAACTCCTCGGAATTCTGGTAGCCAATAAATTCTGCAATGCGGCGTACTTCTTTCTTAAGATCCTGGAAACATTTAAATGATTCTACAACTAGACGAAAAAGATACCTCAAAATAAATAAATAAATTATTCTGCATAGCTTTTAATGTCCCTTATTTTCTTTATTTTCTTTCTTTCTGTACTTAATTAGTTCCGGTAACTTCTGTGCTCCATACTGAAATATTTGAAGTTATACATTTATTCTGTTGTATATACGTATCCCTTTGTTTTATTTATTTACTTATTTAATTTTGTGGAGAGCATTTAATGCTTCCAGCGCTTTGCCTCCATTTCTTTCGAATAAACGTTGTTAAAAAAAATGTCCCTTTGAAAACAAAAGCAGGAACGAAATAAAAAGGCGAATTCAATATGCCAAAATTCACGGAAATTTAAGCTATCAAGCAGTCAGCAATTCTACTTCTATACAGTGATCTACGCCAAGCACTGGTTGACTACCTTTATCATGTCTTCATACTTGACGACAAGAGCGTTCGGTTTGTTTTCGAGCGCAGCTAAATACCCTCTCACGTGATCATACCACGTGCCGTATGGAACCTCTGCAAGTAGCAAAAATGCAGACAACTTATTGTCTATCAATCAAAAAAAAAGAAAAAATAAATAAATAAAATAAAATAAATAAAAACTGAACGTTCAAATTGGTCAAGTTTAATGTGGCAAGGAAATCGAATAGCTTAAAGAGCACGGAAAGTATGTCTTTGTTAAAATTTTTTTTCTAATCTTCACCTTTGATTTCTTTCATAAGTGCCCTGAAAAAATTATTCCAACCACCGCGGAAGCCCACTAAATTATCTCTTGACAAGTGAAAGTAACCGGACACAAAGGCGTCTTTGGGGTTTCGGACTGTGTAAATGATCTTCGACGTCTTCAGTGCCTCTTCTGGGAAGAGCTCCAGTTGAATGTGAGTGTCTAAAATTCTTGGTGACGTCATGTCGTCTAAAATATCCACCGGACAGAACTCGGGGAACATGGTGTTTTCTTTGATACCGTCATGAAGCTGTGCTTTGCCGGAAGTCAGACACGTAACAACTTCAAACATCCAGTGAGTGCCTGACGCATAAAAACATTTTTTTTTAATTATTTAGTAACAAGTTTTCCTATAAGTAAGTTTTACTTTGTCAACATTCGTATAGGTCGTTTCAATTCCATTTTGAAAATGCATATTGAAAAAAAAAAAACTGTAAAACAGTTCTCAAACAATGCTCTCAATTTAAAATAAATTAATAATAAAAGATATATCCTTACTCTGCTGCGTGCTTATAATTTCTTTCGTTGGCGAAATACCGGTATTAATATACCCATGTTTTTACAATTAACACAAAACAAGCTCTTACCCGATTTTGGCCAGTTTACAATCCATATGTCGTCACCGCGGGCGTGGAACTTGTCGTAATTGTCGATATTGTCAACTACTAGTGGCCAATCGGGGACGAACTTCCCCTTGACGCAAGCCGATCTTAATGGGTTACCTTCATCATCGTATATTGTCCGAGTATCAACTTGTTTCCTCTCAAAGATTCTCTTTCTAAATACCGTCAACATGTATCTACGCAAATCTGGGAAATTATACATGTCTACCACGAAGAGATAAATCATCCTGAAGAAATTTTGAATGTATGAGATGACCATTGTTATTTATCTAGGATTTGCCAGTCTTGTTTTCTCTGATTCTGCACAACTGAAAAACAAAAGAGAGAAAACAAAAAAATAAATAAATACATAAAAAGTAAATAAAATAATTTACAAAAATAAATAAGTAAGGAAACAAAAATATTATGTTACCTGGTACTGGCAAATCTTTATAATGTAGGCCTAGATGGCATCTTTTAATTTCAATCATAAGCACACTGTACTTTTTTCGAAACTATTAAATATAGCCTACAGGTTATTCTCATTTACACTTTCAGTTATTTAATTATTTTATTAATTAATTAATTAATTTATTTTTTATTGTTGTAATTCTTGTTTTGAAGCACATATTTCCAAGATAAAGTTATTTAAATGATATTTCGAATGGTCTGGAACGCCAACTGAGCCACAAAGTCTACAGATAGGCCTACTATAGCCTAGTTAGGCCTACACAGTCTGTGCGTAACCAGACCTTGAAAAATTGTACGCACAGATTTTCAAAATTCCCTCCACGATGAATGATGCAGATAAAATTAACGAATGCCATGTACAAATTCTAGGTACAAAGTAGGCTATGTAAGTCATAACCACCTGAAAGCTTAATGATAAAGTAGGCCTAAAAATTGTGACCCAGTTAATTGAGTCCTAGACTAGAATAACTGTTTGGAAAACACAGGCAGAGCAATATGTTTCCATTATATACAGCTCATGCACAGGGTTACAGGTAGCCTATCAGTATCACAAAGACAGAATAACGTTATACTCAGTGGCGGATTTAGAGGGGGGTCGGGGGGGGGGGGTACGTCGATCCTTACCCCCCCCCCCCCCTTCGATTTCTGGACCCCCCTTGAAATTAGAATTTTGACTAGCTAAATCATAGTTCTAAAACGCACCAAATGGCATCGTTCACCCTCTAAAATACCAATTTTTTCGGGGCCCTTCAGCGGGGCCAAGTTGGGGGGGGGGGGGGGGGGGGGGGCTGGGGAGACCTCCCCACCCCCGGGACCCCCTTCCAAAA